AGAGGACTACTCAAAAACAGGAAGTGGGACAGCTGGCAACCCATTTGGAAAATAATGCCAGATTGCTATCCTCACCAAACCCAAAATGTTTCAGGTGTATCAAAGATCCAAATGTAAAAGTTATTTTTTCTAAAATGTTTTTTGGGAAAAACATATCATTGAAGCAGAGAAAATACATAATAAAACACAAATTGTAAATGATGTCAAAGAACTGATCAACTATGATTGCATTTGTATTATAAAGTTCTGCACAATAAAAGATATCAAAAGAAAATAAAAGAAGTAAGATTAAAATATAAAATGTATGAATATTGATAGACTTTATACGGACTTCTTAGAAATTAATAAGAAACAGAGAAGTCACCTAACTGAAAAGGAACTGAGAAAAATGAAATGGCAATTCACAAAAGAAGCAAATGAGCAGTTTAGTATCCCCAGGTTGGGGTATGAGATGTGCAGTAGTAGGAGCTGTGGCTGGGAGATGGGCAGGAGACGACCATGAAGGGTCGTGATTTGCTCCACTGGTGACAGTGGTCATAGGTGGGCTCTACAGAGGAGGGACCCTCAGAGCAGCTCCTTCTGGAAATCCTGATGCAGCTATAGGGATGAGGGTCTGTGGGAAGAGATCTGTATGCGTTGGGTATCAGGGGATCATGGAGAGCTCATGTCTGGTATGGAAGCATCAGGGATGACACTGTTTGCAGGCACAGAGAAAGAGTAGGTGGGGCTGGATGTCTCTTTAGCTCTCTAGGCTCCCTGTCAGTCTGTCCACATGGGAGAATGACCAAAGATCAGGGTCTGACAGAGTCTCTAGACTCCCCAGAGTCTCTGATGAGTTACTATAAGCTCCTAGCAGCTCTTCTTTTGTCTTTTGAGCCTAATGGTGCCTCCTCATGCCCTCTCCCAACAGAGGTCTCTATATCATATGGACTCATTATTATTGGCAAGTGCATTCAAGTCATCCCACAACATAGCAGCCCTACGAAAGGCAGACCTGAACCCTGCCCTACCCTGCGCCATCCTTACCTCCCTGAGCCGATTACCCCACCACTGCAGCAATCTATATTGCTAAGGGTCTTCCTGTCTGTCATCAACTGTCGACCCTTCCAAGCACGATTCAAAGATTAGCCTTTCTAACAACTAACAGACTAAGGGCTGCAAAAAAGGGAGGGCAACAGGAAGCCCTCTGAGCAAGCCCCAGGCCCAAGACTCCCACAGTATTATATTTCCCAGATCTTGGCCAACGGCGGGGCGGCTGACTGCACACTTCTGGGACCCGCCCAGGACATCAAGGAGCACTTCCTGACACATCCTGCATTGTCGCTGACCAAACTCAAATTGCGCTGGATCAAGAACGTCAGCCCACACTTGCTCCCCATTTTCTTTTCCCAAACTCTCAATGCAGCTTTTATCATGTCAGGTGAGCTCTGAAGGCACAAGCAGGGTGACATCTAAGAAGTTCGAGAGCTGGGGTACTGCAGACGCTAACTACTCAGTATGGGCTCAGCTCAGCTTGCACGTCTGGACAGCAGGTCCAAAGGCCCCTGCTGTGAAAGCCCAGTGGCTTAAGGAGCATTTGGAGTCCGTGAGAAAGGCATGTGAGCACAGTGCTCTGGATGCCAGGAAAAGCAGCTGTTCACCAATCAGTACTACAGCATCAATACTTGAACAGTCCAGCTTTGATCCCCACCTAACTAGGAGGTCAGAGGTCTCTCTCCACACCCGGAGGGGAGGGGAGAAGGGCTTCATCTTCCACAAGGAGCAGCTGGGGCATAGAGTTCCTAGCTCGGCTCTGGTTGGACACACCTGCACCAGCTTAAACCTTGAGACAAGCTCTTGCCAGTTTCCTTGGTCTTTCACTGACCCCTAGAGGGCAGCTGTAATACAGCGAGAAGCTACTGCATCAGGGCTTCCTGGGGCTGGTTCTCTGCTTCCCCAGCAGGACCTGTGGTCCTGTCCCTCCAAAAGCCTGACCTTCAGCCAAATAGAGCCCAGAGCTGAACATGACAGGAGGCCCAGCCTCAAAGAAAGTTCATTCACATTGAGGGCCTGGAGCCTCCAGCCTAGACAACAATAAGAATCCCATAGTTTAGGGTTGTCTGAGGGTTAGCCTTTGAATTTCCCTTCACATCCTCCTCCCAAGTCACAGAAACCAGTATTAAGAAACAGGCAATCAAGGCAATCAAGCTGTCCTACTGGGTGCTAACAACAGGGCAGCACATCGTGTGCATTAACCGCCATCTCATGGGCTCTGGCCACGGCTTGAAAAGTCCTCAGAGAAGATGAGGGGTGTGCTGAGCCCAGACAGGCTGATCTCTGTGCTTTTTAATAATTTATGGGTTTTGTACTTTGAGGAAAAAATAGTTTTGAATAGAAAGGATTCCTTTGAAGACCAACTCTCTCATGCCTCTCTCACCATTTCCCCCAAGCAACATATATTCTGGAAGCATGAATGCACTGATATGGGGCATTATTGCCTGTCACAACAAAAGCAGCTAATGGCTACAAGGAACACGACTTACTGGTAGATAAGTTCAAGGTCATGGGTTCTACTCTGCCTCTGAGATCTTCAAAAGCAATGTCTTAATTTGACATAATTTTGAAACCAAGTGTAGAACAAAATGTGCAAATGGGTAACTTTAGCATCACCTTCTCTTAGAGCACCAGAAAGGAAGAATTATCATAGATCATAGATCAAATGTCCATTTTCTCATTTAATTTTCACAACAAATTCTCAAGATCTGTATAGCAACCTAGACTGGTTTGAATAGTGTACCTGTCAAATCATAACCACTGGAACCTCACAACCTATCCTTATTTAGACATAAGCTATTTGCAATTGTAATTAATTAAGATTATGCTGGCAGTATTGTGTGTGTGTGTGTGTGTGTGTGTGTGTGTGTACCACTGAGTCAGAACCAAACTATAGCTGACACACTAGTGGATTTTCAGAGGCAGTTAATCACACAGAAGGAGACTGCCCATCTTTCACCTGCAAAGCAGCTGGTGGATTTGAACCACCTTCTTTGGGATTGCAGTACAGCTTCTTACCATTAGGCCACCAGAGTTTCCTCAAATATTATTAGTACCATTATAAAAAGAGGAGAAGATACTTTATGAAGGGAGAACAGGACACGAAGAGTGAAGCAGAGAGTGGAAGGTCGCCTCGAGGAGCCAAGGAACACTAATGACTGCCAAAGTTAGGATTCTCCTCCAGAGCCTGCAGAGGGAACATGTCCTTGACAGCATCTTAGCTTTTGACTTCTAGCTTCTAGAAATATGCTGTTTTAAGCCTCCCGTTTGTGGTAGTTTGTAATGGCAGCACCATGAAACTAGGACAAGAGCTGATATTTTATGGGTAAGGAAATTGAGACGCAGGGGGCTGAAAGTAGTTTATTCAACGTTGCATGAATCTTCAGTAGCTAATGTGGAGTCTGACCCCACTTCTGTTTGTATGACTCCACTGCCCACTTCCTCACTTTGCTTCCTGTCCAGCAAGCCACTCCTGAAAAGCTCCTGGGGTGCTCAGCGTTTGTCCCCTTGGTGCCCTCTACCTTGGCCCTAGTCTCAAAAGCTGGCGTTGATCACATACTCACTCCACATGCAAAGGACCTGTCCAGGCAGTTTGATGCTCTCACTGCTGCCCGAAACCAGCTCTTCCCCTCATCCCTGAAAGCTCTCATTTTGAACACGGTACTGTGCCCACGGAACCCAACCATAACCCTATCATCCAGCTGGTTCCCAAAAGATAAGCATTGACAAAAAGAACCTCAGGGGTCCTGACCTTCTTCAGAAGCCCGCAGAAAGGCTCGTGTGCTTGGGTTCTAGAGAAGGTACCAACCACAGTTAGAGAGGAGGTTTGAAAACTTAGCCTGGAGTGTTTCAGTCAGAGGGACCTTGGAAAGTATCAACAAGGGTATCTTTTTCCCCCTTCTAATCTTTATTTCTATTTAAGACAACTGTCTAAATTACTCTTTATGTTAAACTCTTTAAGTTGATTACTTCTCCATTTATGCCTCGTCTCAAGTGTTTTCCTTATTATATTATTTTTTAATATTGTGGTATATGTGTGTTATATAACAAAACAATTGCCATTTCAACATCTTTACATGTGTAATTCAGTGACATTAATCACATTTGACAGGTTGTACATCTGTTACCACTAGCCATTTCCATTTCCAAAATTTTCCATCAGAGACTCCATGCACAGAAATGTTGATCTTTCTGCATTGCCTACTCTACATCTTTTCTATAAATGGGATAAAATAATATTTGCCTTTTTGTGATGGACTTATTTCACTCAGCATGTTGTTCTCAAGGTCAATTTATATTGTAGTATCCCTGAGGACTTTTTTTTTTGGCTGACAACATGTGTACTTTAAACAGTATTTCTTTGTAGGTATAAAGCTACAAGTATTTGGAAAAGGAATTCAACGTTTTATAATAAACAAACCATTGTGATGATAACACTGGGTCCTGTCAGCAGGTGAGGGCCAGGAGAAAAGGAAAAAAATTCTAGTCCTGCCACCTGTGACCTCAACCTGGTCCTGTCCCTCCCCAAGACACAGCTTCTCCTCAGGACCATAATATAAATCCATTGCCCGGAAGTCAGTTCTGACTCCCAGGAAACCTGTTGGATTTCTGAAGCGATGAATAGGAGGAGACTGCACTTCTTTCCTCACTGATAGATTTGAACCACTGACCTTTCAGTTAGCAGCCCAATACACTATGCATTATGCCACCAGGACTCCTATAAAGGAGGAGTAAAGATGCTCTATGTAAGCTTCCTTCCCCCATCCCCCAAGCTATTACACTCTCTTCTGGGGCTTCTCAGGGGAATTTTTTTGGGTTCCGTTTAAAAAACAATTTCCTGACTTCAAAGCCCTCCCAGATATAGAAAGAGTGAAAAAGGAGAGGAAACGGTAGAGAGTGCAGCAGAACTACAGAGGCCCAAGGGCCTGAGTCCCAGCTGACAGGCTCCGGGAGATCCCACCGCTTACCTGCTCCACACAGTCTGGGATTTCAGGTGCGCACGGCAGTGTCCCCGCACTCTCCACGGACAACACGTCCTTTAGCAGCTCCTCACACCCTGGGGACAGACAGACAGGGAAGGGTCAGAGCCTTGGCCGGGCACACGCACACCGCTCTGCTTTTGACTCATGGCCATTATGGCTCTTGAGTGGGAAGGGCTGTGGGGAGGAGGGTAGCCCGAGAGTCATGAGGGTCATGTGAGGCAGAGACTGAGCAGTGAGGCTATGAGAACCTCGCTCAGCACCGTGGAAGGCGCTGAGGCAGAGGCTGGCCCTAGAGACATTCTCCCACTGAGACTAACTCCAGCGAAGAGCACAACATAGAGGGTAGAAGGAAATCAAGGAAGACTTCTTGGAGGAAGAGATATAAAGTTTACATGGACTCCAAACATGTCCACTGGCCTGAGGCCAAGTCAGCCTTGAAACTTCAGAACATGTAGGAGAGGGCCACCCTCAGAATGACTCTGTGGAATCAGTTACATAGGTGGTCTTCCTCCCAAATTCCTGAGTAAACTCTCAGAATTATTTGGACAAAAGAGGTAATACCTACCGATTCCTCACTTTGGTCCAGCCAGGGCCAAGACAGTCAAGCAATTCCATTCAGAAAACCTTTACAGGCAGTCCCCGACTTACAATATATTCTAGTTACTGCCAGCTGCACTTACCAACTGCTAGGTTTTGTTTTTCTTCTGTTACATCTCACTGTTCGCAATATGTACTATATACAGTGTCGTAACACATAATTTGCTGATGTTCTAATTCTCAGACGTTCACTACAGATGTTCATATTTATAATTTCCTGTTCAAAATACTGCTACCTAGCAGCCTGTGGTCTGTACAACGAAGCTAGTGTTGATGCTGAGTACTGTCACGGACAGAAGGCCGGCAACCTTCAACTCTAACAACGTATAACAACGGAACTGGGAGCACTCCTCATAACCCCCATGGCTCCAATGTCTTTATTACAAACAGTGGCACCAACTTCCCTGCGGATTAGGCTTCTACCAAAGCTCAACTGATGTATGGTTGATTTCATTAGCTTTCCACAAGGCTGTCTACAGGAGGAGGCTGCCAATCTCCGTCCCTCAGAGTAGCTGGTGGATCTGAACCGCCAGCCTTTCAGCTAGCAACCTGGTACATTATTCACTATGCCACCTGGGTTCCATCAGACTTGTAGCAGTATCTCATCCAGCATTTCCTATCATAAGCCACATCAGTTGCTAACTGCAAGACAAGTTGTTCAAGTTTTTCTAACAGGAGCACCTGCAAGGTTTATCTTCCCCTCAATACATCTGCTTAGTGAAAGAAGTCAGACCAGCGAAAGCTTAAGAGATATGTGTGTAATATTTCTGACTCCCAAAGACAAAGACTGGCTTTATAAAGACACTGATTATAAATTGCAATAGTAATGAACATTAAAAATAATAGTTCACCGTTCACTAGAACCAACTAATAATGAGTCATCAGAAGGGGAACCTGCCTGAAGTTGGGTGGTAAGTATTGGTATGTGACATGTACCGTACCCTAACCCCTGACCTCACTTACCTTTGCCTCACATTTCTACAAAGGACTCCTGAAGTCACAGTGGGTAAAGCACTTGGCCGCCAATCAAAGGTTTGGTATTTTCAACCCACCAGCCGCTCTGCATGACAAAGATGGGACGTTCTACCACCATAAAGATTCACAGACTCAGGACCCCTGGGGGGAGCTGTATGTCTCACAGGGTAGTTATGAGTCAGAATTGACCTGATGGTAGATCACTCTGACTTCTATTGAAATCATTCCTGCTTTCTTTCTACCCTCTCAGCACCCTGAGATAACCTCAAAGGGAAGGATTTGTCCACATGGATTCGTCCATGGCTCCCTTCACAGAGAAGGCAGGCCTTGGCTCTCGTGGAAGTGACCATGTCTTCTCCCTGCTGCAGAGGGAGGCCCTAGCAGGCCATCTGCCTGGGGACCTAAACTGCGTTTCACAGTCAAGCAGCTGAGAAGTAAGAGCAGAACATATTCCGACTCTCTCACCACTGGCCTATACATTTTGCCGGTTGAAAAGAGAGAGGTGTTTTAGACTGATCTTTTCAAAAGGGCTGAAGGAGTGAGGAGGAGTTAGAAGGAGAAGAGAAAGAGGAGGGAGTAGGTAAAGGAAACGCAAGGGAAGGAGACAGGGTGGTGCACTCATCCTAGTTTACCTGACACTGTCCTGGTTTTAAAACAAGAAGCCCTGTGTCCTGGAAAACTCTTCAGTCCCAGGCAAAATGGTTGGTAACCCCAGAGAGAGATGGAGAATGAGGAGGAGAGAGAGAAACAAGAGGAAAGCAAAGTAAAGAGGCCCTCTCCATCAGAAACAATGCTGTGTACCTTCGAGTCAGAACTGACCCACACCTGACCCTCCAGGGAGTTTTCAGTGGTAGTTAATTGCATGGGAGGAAACTACCCATTTTTCTCCTGCAGAGTAGCTGGTGGATTTGAACTATGTACCTTCTGGATTGCAGTGTGGCTCTTTGACACTAAAGTCACAGAGCTCCCTCAATGAGGAGCGTTAAAATGACTGTTCCAGGGAGCTCTGGTGGCCTAGTGGCAAAAAGCTGCACTGCAATCCCTAAGGCTCACTGTTTGAATCCACCAGATGATCTTCTGGAGGAGGGACAATGTCCTCCAGTGCCAGTTGGATCCAATTCAATGGTACATGTTTTGGGGATGGGGGAGACTGTTCCCTGAATTCAGCATGTCCAGGAGTCCTGACTTCAGGTGGCAGGACTTTGAGGTGGACTTTGAGGCCATCTGTGGGAGCCCAAGACACCCACCCTCTAGTCCCCACATGTCACTGGGGACAGAGTCCACTTCTGGAGTCCCTCTTGAGACACCTGCCCCCCGCCGCCAGGAACTCCAAATTTGAACTCCAAATTGTGCCAGCCTCCTCGCCTAGACAGGATTCTGGGAGAACTCCAAGCTCCACTGAAACTAAAAGAGCTCACCTTTCATGGCGAAGACTCCCCTGCAAAAGTCCTTGAAGTTGATTCTCCCCAGGTCGTTGGGGTCCAGATATTTCACAAGTTTTTCCACCTGTGGAGAAAAGCAGGGACAGGTGTGAACGTGCAGAGGCATCTTAGAGGCTCAGGGAGAAGAAGCTGGGACAGAGGTAAGGCTTCTCAGTGAAGCCACCACCCACAAACAGTCTTCTCCCAGCTCTTCTCCCTCAAGCTGGGGATGAGCACCAAGCCCTCAAGTCTCAGGGCCCCTCAAATCAACAAACAATGCTCAAGAGCAAATTCAAAGCCAGCCCTGGCTCAGAAAATGCAAAAGGTGTATGTCAGAGTTGCATCCTTTCTCCACACCTATTCAATCTGTATGCTGAGCAAATCACTTGAGAAGATGGACTGTACAAAGAAGAATGTGTGACATTAAGAAACCCACAGCGTCCCTTTTCAGCAGGAAGTAGCTAAGAGAATATGCCATCCCCTTTTCCTTATGAATCAGGGTGAAGTCTCTCTCAGGGAGGAGTGATAGGGAATGGCAAAGGACACACTGACAAAGGAGATTAATCAGAACTGTCTTTGACAAGCACTGTGGCAAATGGACAATTAAAACAGACTTTCAAGGGGGGGGGAAGAAGAACAAACTAGGGAGGAGGGTAGAGAAAATAGTGCAACAATGAGTGAATGAAAACTCAAAATCTCTGTAAATGTTCATTAAAAGTAATAAAATTTAATAATTTTAAAAAAAGAATGGAGGAAGACTCATCAGCAGTGTGTATTCTTCAAGTGACACAATTCTGCTTGCAGAGAAAGTGAAGAAAATCTGAAACACCTACTGAAGATCAAAGACTACAGCCTTCAATATGGACAATTCTATTGTTGTAGTTAATGTGTCATCAAGCTGGAACTGACTCATAGCTGACACTCTCCAGTGGGTTTTCAGAGGTCATGAATTGCAGAAGAGATTCTCCATCTGTCTCTGGAGGAGAACTTGGTGGATTCAAGCTGCCTGCCTTTGATTGGCAGTACAACTCCTTACCACTTGGTCATCAAAGCTCCCCAATATGGGTCATATCTTCATATCAAGAAAACAAAAATTCTCATCAAAGCTCCCATAGGCAACACCATGATAGATGAACTGCATTTTTCATAATTTCAATCCATTTGAATCCACAGTTAAAATCCATGGTAATACCAGTCAAGAAATCAAGACATAACAGTGGTGCTATGTAGTATTTGTTCTTTTGTGACTGAGATATTTCACTTAGCATGATGCATTCCAGGGTCCCCCATGTTGTGTAATGTTTTACAAGTTCACCGTTTTTCAGTGCTACAGAGTATTCCATTGTATGAATACACCATACTTTTTCCATCCATAAGAGATATATCATTGTAAAGAGGACTGAGGGAGGAGAGGGAGGTAACTGTAACAACGATGAGCATTTTTTAAAAAGTAAACTGGGGGAGTGGGAAGGAAAGGTGAGGGGGTAAAATGTGCAACAATGAATGAATGAAAATTTAACTTCTCTGTAAATGTTAAGATCACTATTGAAATAAAATTTTATTTTAAAAAAAAGATATCAAGACATTGCAGGGGAGAAATAAATCTCTGCCAAGAACCTCTTTAAAAGTATTAAAGAGCAAAGATAACAGTTTAAAGAATAAGGTATGCCTGATCCAAGGCACTGTATGTGTCAATTGCTTCTTTTTTTAAATTTTTTTTTACAGAGGTTTTGGATTTCCATTCATTCATTGCCACAATTTTCTCCCTTCCCACCCCTCCCCACCAGCTCAACTGCTTCTTACGCATCTGAAAATTGGACAATGAATAAGGAAGACCAAAGAAGTGTGGTGCTGGCAAAGAATGTGGAATATACCATGGATCTCCTGACTTCTCAGCTCTTTTAACCTCCTTGTGGCCAACACCCCCTCAGTCACCAAATCTCATGGTTATACTGGAGGTTCAGTCATTGGCATCGATGGCCCGTCCTCCAGAATCACTCCCTCAGACATCCCACACTCCCTGAGCACACCCTTCCTCCCTTCCCACCACTCTATGGTTCTTCTGCATCACAGTGATGGCTCCTCTTAACCATATCATTCCACACCTCAAAATCATATCTGAAACTACCTTCTTTGTCACAAACCCTCTGGGCCCGGTCTTGGTCACAGCCATCATCACCTCACCCCAGACTATTCAAAGCCCTTAATTCAGTCTCCTCTCTCTCATTATTCAGTTCCATTCCAATTCATTCTTCACTCTAAATAGGTCATGTCACTCACTCCCCTCCCAGTAACTTTCCATTAAAGACAAGTTCCATAACATAACCTACAGCAAACATCCTACATAATCTCTCCCCTTCACCATCATCACCCCTCATCTCATTCTGCACATCACTCACTGTGCTCCAGCCACAACAAACTATGAAAATTCTTGGCTGCCTCAGGGCCTTTGCACATCTTCATCTCCTGTTTTCCCCATTCATCATCTAACAATGTCTAGCTACCCGTCAGGTCCCCACTTGTACTTCTGTTTCTCCCCAGAGAGGCCTGTCTTGATCTACCCCATCCAATAGGGTACAGCCTGCTGTAGCCCTTTCTTTATAGCATCCTATACTTTTCCTTACCAACATTTGTAATAGTTAGGAATTGCTTATAGAAATAATTGATACATTTGTTTGCTGACCCTCCTGCAGGTTTTCAGAGGCAATTAATTGCATCAGAAGAGATTGTTCATCCTTCTCCCAATTGTTAGCAATTACATGCTTATATAAATAGTTGTTAAATTTGTACCTTCCCCTCTAGAATGTGAGCCCCTGCAAGCAAGAAGTAGGCCTGTTTGATAACCACTGCATACCTGGCAGCCGAGCCATGATTGGCATATAAACACCTGATAAATTCTGAATACATGAAGTAAAGCAATTCCACAAAACATGCACATTTTTAAGGCTCTTATTACCAGTTGTCAAAATAGCCTCTGTAATAATGTTTTAAGTTAGTGTAGAGTAACTTATTTCAACGTTCCCTGCTCTGGATAATTTTCCCTCGATCTTAGCAATGACCAGTTCTGAAAAGTGAAAATAAAAATCCCTTCTCTTTTCTAATTCTAAATCACTACAATAGCTGAAATTCAGCTTCTTATTTCTTCCTAAAGTCTGCTCCTAAATCAGCTCCGCAGCATGCGTGAAACGCCTAGTCATTCATCCACTCACTCAGGGAGAACCGTGATCCCTGACATGCTGGGAAAAGGTGGCTCTGGTGGCTCAGGACAGAAGGAGCTGTGCTGCTAACCCCAAGGCAGCACTGCTCTGCGTGTTCGAGTCCACCAGTGGTTCTGTGGGAGAGAAATGGGCAGTCTCCTTCTGTGCGATGAACAGCCTCTGAAACCCCACTGGAGGCTCAGCTCTGAGTCAGTTTCGACTTGATGGCGACATGCGAGTGTGAGCAGAAGCTGAGTGTGCGCAGTAGCTGCTGGCCCGGCCTGCTAACCACACACGCGGCCACACTGACACACGCATCCATGACTCCATGGGCACATGCTCTCTCCATCAGGCACCTTTCCCCTTCTCTCCAGAAATCATTGCATCAGCATCTAGAGCACATCCCCAGAGCCCCTTCAGGGCTGGGATGCAGAGGCCCCCAGGCAAGTAAATGAAATGATGTGTATCAAAGCACTTGAGAAGCTGTCACTGTTAATACTGCATGGCCAGACCTTCCTGCATTGTGTCATCACATTGGGGTACTCTACCCCCAAGGATGGGGTGGTAGTTACAGCGGTGCCCTGAAGTCTGGCTTGCTGCCAATGCCATGCCCTGTGGATTGTGCCCACGGTGAGCATAGCAGTCATCAACACACCCACCTCTCTTCTAGCCCTGAGCTCTAGGATTTTACCTGCTTCCAGCTGATCCTGCTTTTCTACTCCAGTATGAGTTTGGGGGTTCACTGTCCTTTCTATGAACCCCTGAACTGGTCCCTACTGGGCCCTTGGGAAAGGCTTATGGAATTTCAGAGAAAGAAGAAGGCGGCTTCCTGCCAGCTCCCGCCCTGGCTCGAGCCTCTGTGGCATTGCGGCTGCCGCCTCCCCCCGCATCTCCCAGCCAGCAGCCTCTGACACTGCCAGGCAATGACGTGGCTTCTGAGATTAGCAATACCCAGGTGCCACCTGCAGGGCTGTGGGGGAGCCCACCCACCACCCCAGCTGGTATCCCGCCTTCTCTCCTCCTGCCCTTGTCACTGGAGTAGGGCGTCTGTGAATGCAGACACATCAAGGGTACCCTGTGCCCCAGACTCTCAGTGATCACCCCTACAATCCTCTCCAAGGTCAGTGCTGTGCTTTGCTTTCATTATCTCTGATACAAGCCAAGAACAGACTCACATACTGCTGAATGAAGCCCAAGGGGACCCCAACCTCAAGTGCACTGAGAAGCTGAACAGTGTGGGTTTGGACTCTGTAATCTATGGAGTCTAAACTTCCTGGGGTTGGGAGGCACTGGTGAGGCAAAGTGGTCTATTTCCCTGCCTCTAAAAATGCCAGCGTGGAACAGTGATGTGGGGTGCTGTTTGATGACAGGCAAAGAGATGGCCTTCTGAGGGGTCTCCGCATGTCCGCCTAAGCTGTGGTCCCAGCTACAGCCTGAGCCGGTGACCTTCTTCTCTACAGCCCCTCCCACTGGGCTCTCCAAAGTATGGACGTACTCACAGGTTGTTGTTTTTGTTATGTGCTGTCAAGTCACCTGTGACTCATAGAGACCCTATGTACTATAGCTCTGAACCCTGCCCTATCTTGAGCCAATTTCAATGTCTCTGACACACCTACTCCCATTACCCCAGTCACCGAATCTATCCATCTCATGAAGGGTCTTCCTTTCTTGCACTGTCCTCTTCAAGGACTGGTCCCTCCTGGCCATGTGCCCAAAGTATGTTAGACAGAGCTTCAAAATTCTGAGGAGTGGCCTGGTTTCACCCTCTCTAGGATGGCCCTGTTAGTTCTCTTGGCAGTCCGTGGTATATTCAGTACTCTTCTCCAGCACCACAACTCAAAGGCATCGACTCTTCTTCTGCCATCCTTAGTCACTGTCCAGCTCTCTGATCCTTAGCAAGTAATTGAGAAGACCATGGCCTGGATCAGGCATACCTTAGTCTCGAGACTGACACCATTGCTCTTCTGTACTCTGGAGAGGTTCCTGACAGCAGAGAGTCCCACAGAATGACAAGAGCATGAGGAATCAGACCCTTCATCTGACCCATACCTTCATTTTATCAACAGGGAAGGCTAAATCCCAGACAGCAGATGGTCACACAGTGAGGGATGTCTGGTCCAGCATAGAGTTCCCTCATGTGGTCTTCTGGGTGAGCCTGGGCCTCCGCAGCAGCGGGGCCTGCCCATTGGTACACACACACCAAGCAAGGTTGGGCAGCCCTGGACCCTCACTTGGCTTCCAGGCCAGGAGAGGACGGCTGCATGGTTCACTGGGCCTGGCAGAGATTCCAGCAGCAGCTGCTGTCACTGAAGCATACACAGCTGGCCGCCGAGCCTGCTGCCAGGAAAAGTGGTTGTTTCACTGGCAGTCAAATATTGATCTTTCTTTTTTGGGGCCACTCAATTACCAGGCTTTCCCTTCTATTTCTGTTGCCTTTCTTCTCAGACTGATTTCACCCCACTCATTCCCCCTGGGTCACATCTCTCCCAGTCCAGACCAGATGAGCTTTGAAGCTTCATTACCCGCTGGCCCTCAGCTAGTTGGCCAGAGCCTCTCAGCCTATGCCAGCCTCCCACACCTCCCTAATTTCAAGGCCTGCAAGCCCGCAGCAGTCAGCAAGCTATTTAACTCTGAACGGCCCTATCAGATCTGTTGCTCAGAGGGTCACTATGAGTCATACCCGACACATAACAACAACAACAATCTAAACAAGAGAGAAAAGCCGGCTAATCTAGATGCCTGTGGGGCTCAGTCTGTAGAGGCAGGCATCTTATGATGTTGTGGTTAGTTGGCATTTAGTTGACTGCTGCTCAAGGTGACCCCACGTGCACAGCTGTCTCGTAGATCCTTCCACTGTGACCTTCAGAAAGCAGATCACCAGGCCTGTCTTCCAAGGTCTTCCAAGGTGCCTCTAGATGGGTTCAAACTGCCAATTTTTTAATGAGTAGTCAAGCACTTAATCATTTACATCACCCAATGATTCCTTAATGCATATTAGCTAATAACAGAGCTGGGCAATAAGTAAGGGTGTCAGAAGAAGAATGGATGCCTTTAAGTTGTGGTGCTGGAGGACATACCTTGGACTACCAAGTTGCTCTTTGGAGGCAAGGACTGAGAAGCTCCATCTCACATACTTTGGGCATGATGCCAGGAGGGCCCAGTCCTTGGAGGAGGACATGATGCCTGGAAGAGCAGTTAAAAGCAAGAAAGTAGAGGATCAGAGAATGAGAGGAAGACCTTCAATGAGATGGATTAACATAGTGTAGAAATGTTGTTATTGTTAGTGTGTGCTGTCCAGTTGGAACCGACCCATAGTTGACTTTCCAGCAGGTTTTCAGAGGTAGTAAATCACACAGGAGAGGAAAACCCTGGATGAGACAGACAGACATAGTGACTGTGGCAACAGGGTCAAGTGTGTCAGAGAAGGTGAGGTTGGCTCAGGACAGGGCAAGGTTTGGAACGGGCTGATTCATGAGGTATATATGAGTCACAGTTGACTCGACGGCACATATTAACAACAACAAGCCACCAGGGCTCCCTCCTGTAGAGATTACGACCTAGGAAACCTTGTGAGGCAGTTCTAGTCTGTCATATAGGATTGCGATGAGTTGGCATGAACTAGATGGCACACAGTAACACTATCAAAGCTCACTGCTCCTGAGTCAGAATCGATTCACAGCAGACCCTCCAGGCAGCTTCCAAGGCTGTAAACTGCATGCAAGGTGCCCGCTCTTCTTTCTCCTGAGTGGTTTTAAACCACGAGAGGATTGCCTTGTGGGTTAGTACTACAACACCCTGTGGCCAACACCACCCGTTAGTAACACTAAGCAAGCTATTGTTGTAGGCGCCATCGAGCCACCTACAACTCATGGCAAATCTCTGAACAACAGATCTGAACCTTGCCCTATTCTGTGCCACCCTCACCATCTCAGATATGCTTGAGCCCCATTGTTAGAGAGCTCTGAAGGTCTAGTGC